TTACCATAATTATTTACATTGTACATGTACATGTACATGTAGATGTATGTACATTGTACAATAAATATCTTACTTGTTTGTTTCTAGTTTGAAATTAGCTTCTTTCTTGCCAACATTCCTTACCAGAATAGTCTTGCATGACTTGTACTAAGACAAATATCATACATGTACATGTAATTATTATAATTATATTATACACTGTACATGTACATGTACATGTACAGTGTATAGTACATGTAGTTCAGGGTGCTATTGTGTGATAAGTGTATGTATACTTTAACTGGTGATGATGTAAAGTGAATATCATCAGGGAAGTCAAGGACACCCCTTGAGCCTAGACCAGAGACTGGAACAACAAACTTCTCTCTCTCAGTAACAAAAACTAACTCATGATAATAATCCTATGATGAGAGAGAGAGAGAGAGAGAGAGAGAGAGAGAAGGGAAAGCAAGTGAAAATATATGGATGCATCATCAATGCATGCTCTATACTGCTGACCTTATCCTCAGTTGGTGTGAACTGTACAATGTAAGTAGCTTCCATTCCGGGGGCAATCTTTTGTCCTACTGGTCTACTACTGGTAACAATAAAATAAGGTGAGTCCTTCTCTGTAACTTTAACATGTCTTGCTACCTGCAAGTAAGATAGAGAGAGAGAGAGAAAAGAGAGAAAGAGAAGAGAGAGAGGGGGAGGGAAAAGAAAGAAGAGAGAGGGAGGGAAGAGAAGAGAGGATTCATGGTTTTATTGCAATATATGTACATGAATTACTCTATCAAGGTTCTTTAGTGTTAATATCATCTCATAAGAAGTGTTTGGGACCAACTGTTGAAAGATCAGTTCTGACGGAAAAGGTTGAAACAAAGCTTGATCAATATCGACTGAAAAATCCTAAAAGATTATAACACAAAAAAAGTAACATTAATCAACTCTTGGTAGCATAGGATTGAGAGCAATGTTCAAGATGGCTGTTACCAGTAGTATAAGGTATAAAATACATGTACGTGTGAATGCATTGTACATACATGCACATGCACTTCATAAACATGCTACAATAAATGCTATTAGTATTTAGTAAGACTAGTTGAGTACACGTATAAAACATTAATTGAGTGCCAAATACATGTAGCCAATTTGATACATGCAGTTTGAAATACTCTCTCTCTTCATCTCTTGCCTTGTTAGTCGTGCTGGCTCCTATGTCCAGTAGTTCTATGATCTTTGGTGGGTAGACCTCTCTCGTCGCTTGAAGTCTCTCTTGAGTACTGAGACTCATTTTAGACATAAATAAAGAGGGAACCAGCTGGAAAGGAGGCAAGAATCAATGGAAGACAAAAGTGGTGGTTTATTCCAAACCTTTTGAGATGTCTTCGGCTCTTTGACCAATTTAGTGAGTTTTCTAGAGCTGGCAAGACTAGCAACTTTAGTCTTGACAAAGGACCGGCTCTCTTTTGCCTGCTCGGCCATTTTCTTGAGCTAGAAAGTAAAATTACTCTCCTTTTCCCAATAAGAGCACAAGATGTACCATTTGCTGGTAGCTATGGTAACGGTGGGCGTGGTTCCCGCCAAAACACGTGTTACAAAACAAGACCCTGTAAATTCATAATAATATTGAGATTTTATCATCATTCCAGGCCCAGGCTTGTTGAGGTCTCAGAATTATGAGAAAGAAATGAAGACGTGGGTGGATAGTTACACTTTTGAGTTAGTAAGCATTTTTAGCATGTAAAACCGGTATAATTATTATTATATTGTTTTATTACCGTTTATATACATGTAGTTTTCCCTGGGAGACTGTAGTACAGGCGGCATATCGTAAATATCCAACACGTCACAATACCAATGTTAAGACGCTCGATACATTGGAAAGGAGGTGTGGTCAAAATGGGAGTGGTCGAGTTTTGTTTAGTCATCGGTTGTTTGGTACACTATGGAATGTACCGGCTCT